ATATTCTTTGCACAAGTATCGAATAAAAACAGAACACACTTAATGAAGTGAAGGAAAAGACTTTCAAAGTGAATGACAAATCTCAAAAAGACTAGAAAATATATTAGCACTAAAAAAGAACTGATATCATACTATCTATTTATTAAATTCAACGCTTATACAAATATCATTAACTTTTTATCTATGATCAACGATATAAATAAATGAATAAAAAATAAATTAATATATATATATATAAATGTATTTATGTATTCCTAATGTGAAAATAGAGTACTCGAAATCACACCTACAACCTGTACAAATTTTAGGTTTACCACCCTCACGCACTAAGTGAGTTTAAGTGTAGTAGAGTATAACTTGGAAAGACGCATTCATTTTACGAGATGCATTTTCCATTTTTTCCAGGTTGGGTTTAAAAGTAAGCCTTTCTATGCGTGCGCATAAAATCACTTTTGTGATTCCATATGTCCATTTTAATTAATATATTAGTTAAACGATTTATTTTTAAACGTTCAAAAACAAGCATACGATCATTAAAGTATCTTGAATGCTAAGATATATATATATTTATTTATTATTCTTATGAATTACTAAACATACACCTCCTGGTGTCCAGTCTTACCTAGTGTTTAAGCAACTAAATATTTTTTTGAGGGTAGCCGTAAACACACGACGCATGTGTAAGAAGGAACAAACTACACAGATGCTCAAAAGTACGTATGGTGACATCAAAGGAAAATAAAAAAAATAGTAGCAACAAAATAATAGGGGGGTATTACAAGAGAATTTATGCTGATACAGGTTGAGCTTCATTGACCTTTATCTGCTTGCCCAACATTGGGTGCATTTATTGTGTCCATGTAGAACTTTTTTTTCTGTGTTGGGCAAACTGTTACACGCGAATGGACCGGGCGGCGCTTTGCCCCATCACGTCTGAAGGATACAGCCAAAGCTGTGTTAATCACAGAAAGGTTTTCGCTAAACAACTTGCCACTGCAGTTGTTCTTGAGGATACTGACGGAGCTGTCATTGGGTGGCATCAGGGAGATTGAATTAGTTGAGCTTCTCAGATCAAAAAAATCAAGCATATCCTCCTCAGTATAGATATCACGAATTGAAGATAGTCCTCGAGGTTTCTGAAGCATCTTTGTGGACTGACCTAATGGCTTGATCTGTGTGCTGCTCTCTGTTGTGCATCCAATGTTGTTATTTGTCATAGATTCATGTGGAAGTGGCAATACGTTCAAATGATGTGGTAATTGACCCATAGAATCCCTTGCGGCTCCATGCTTCGAAAAGGTTACCTTTTCAAGACTCCCCAAAATCCTGGTTGGTGCATTTCTGTGCTCCTGTATAGCCACTGACATGCGTTCGAAAGCTTTACGAGTGTTCCTCGAAGTTTCTGAAATAGGGGGGCATTCAAGAGACCCGTCAAGTGTAAGGGGACGGCTCGGAGCCATCATATCCTTTTTTACGTCATCTAGGCGTAGGGTGAGCCGCGTTTGTGGTGGGGTTCCCAAATGACTCTCAAACAGGGAGCAGTGAGGTAGGCACACACATGGGTTTGAATAGTTGACCGTATTCCATTTGGTGGCATCGTTATAGTAACTTCTGGCTATTGGCAGAATTTTCGGGGCTTGGGTCTCAACCGGCTTGCTGGTGCTGCAGTTTAAAGGAGACGCATATGATGAACACATTAGGGGCACATTTTCCTCCCATGAAAGTGAGTTGACAGAACCTGAGAGCTTCTTATCGCATTCCAATGTTTTTCTATTCATAAAACTGGGACGCAACTCGCCTGGCTCACTAACCATTTCAGTACGCGAGATGTACTGACTCTATGCAACCAAAATTAGAGCAGTGGTTCAATGTAGTCGTTAACCGCCAGAAATAAAAATGTCTTTTGTTAAAGTTACCGAAAAAATGTTTAGAGAAGCAAAGGATTGCAACAAAATCACTCAAAAGAGAAAGATCTTAATATTATATTTTTCCTAAAGTTAATATTAATAAGATATGCCACTCATGCAGCGAGAAGAATATAAGGTAGCATTAAAAAGCTCAAAAAAAATTCAGGAAGCAAAAAGAAAAAAAGGAAAATGAATTGAATAAAATGGCAAATTTTAATGTTTGGACATTTCAGGTGATACACACAGAAATGTATGTATGTGTTTTACATACTGTAACAATATTCTTCAAGCTTACGAACTATTTTTCCTTTTAGCGTGTTACTATTTAATCGATGTTACAACAAATAGATGGGTATGCACCCTTGGCTTTTTATAATCATATAGCTAACTTTTTTTTTAATTGTTTGTAAGTGCGCGCGCTAAAAATACGGTTTAGAAAAAATAAAAAGTAGACGTGCCGAGTATCTTTATTTTCCACTGCTTATTACGAATATATCATATATGAATATATATATATGTATATATAAGAAAGATAAGCATGGGATCTTTTTAATCCAACAAAAAATGAAGAAATGGTCCCGCTCCATCTATAGAGCAGCCGTCATTGCTTCTGCGACTTCAGCGGCCTTCAGTAAGACCTCTTTCACCTGTGAGGCCTCCAGACCAGCTTGTGCCATGTGTGGCTTCCCACCGCCTTTCCCAATTGCAGCCTTGGTCCAATCGACCGCGCTGAGTTTCTTATCGACGAACTCAGACGGCATTGTGACCAACGCCAAGGCCCTGGAGGCATCACTGCCCAGGAGGAAAAGACCGACTGGTCTTTCGACGTTTGAATTGAACCCATCTGCGAAAGCCTGCAAAGACTCACGATCGGCGCCGTACTCTGTCAAGTGTTTAATAATGAAAGGTGAAGCGAGGGCATCAGGGCTTTCGGCGAGCTCCCTTCCATCGAAGGAGGCCTTCTCATTCATTTTTGCGGCTTGAGACTTGAGTATCGCGTTAAGTCGTTTAACATCTCCATCAATTTTTTCGCGCAGGCGAATTTTTTCGAGCAATGGGATCGTACTATCACCAATCTTCTTGTTGAGGACAGATAACGCTTTTAGGCCTGCCTCGGACGCCGGAGCCTTTGATAACTCTTCGTACTTTTGAGTAAACTCGGCTCCTTCCTTGATCGCTTTCGCAGCTTCATCGCGAGTGACCACAACGATGCGGCGCACGCCTTTCGTGAGGGCATCCTCAGATAGAATGACGGCCGACTGAGCATCACGGAGATTGCTGAGGTGGGTACCACCGCAAAATTCGATAGCGTATTCCTTCCAAACCTTGTCCTCGGGGTTCTCCATGACTTTATCGAGAGGAGCACCAACGCAAATAACACTGACAGGGTCTGGGTACTTCTCACCGAAGATATGGCACACACTGCTGATCCGCAAGCCGTCTTGAAGAGGTACTTGCTTACGGTATACTGGTGGGGCTTCCTTGATCTTTTCATTAAGTAGCATCTCCACCTTACTGAGTTGCTCATAACTGAGCTTGTTGCCGTAGCTGAAGTCAAAGCGCAGTATATTATCCGCGACAAGGGAACCCCTCTGCTGCACGCTCAGGTGCCCCACTGCATTTTCCTTCTCCAAAACATTGCGAAGAATCCAGTTAAGTTGATGAGTCGCCGTATGGTTGGCTGCGATGGATAAGCGTCGAGTGAAGTCCACTTGCTGCTGAACGCTGGCGCCGGAAGGAATAGGGCAGGATGAGTCTTTAGAGAGGTTGCCGATGTGGATGATATAGCCTCCAATGTTATGCACTTTCCGGACTTCAAATACAGCATCTTCGGCAGCAACGAGACGTCCAATGTCGTAGATCTGGCCACCCGATTCTGCATAAAAGTTCGTTTCATCCATAATGATGCCAATGGCTTCATCATTGAGGTCGTTCGGTGAAAGGACATCAAGGAACTCATTGCTCTGTTGATCGAAAATGGCAAGAATGGTTCCAACATGCTCCTCCCAGACGTACTTGAATTCATCCTTGGTTTGTGGTACACCACGATGTCTTAACTCATCCAATTCCTGATTCTCCAAGAACCTCCTACTCATAGTTGAAACTCCACCATTGGCCTGGCTGGCCTTCATATTTGCATTAAATTCTTCCATATCAACCTCCATATTTTCTTTCTTCGCCAAGAGACATGTGAGGTCAACTGGAAAGCCATAGCGATCGTGGAGAATAAAAGCATTGTCGCCGTTGATGATGTTCGTCTCTGAAGCCTTGGCCTCTTCAACAGCACGGTTGAAGTGCTTGATGCCCGTTTCCCATGTTTTAGCGAATGAAATCTCCTCGGACTCAAGGACAGCCTTAATGTGCTTAAGGACGTTCTCGTCTGAAAGGTTCTTGAAGAACGGGCCGAGAGACTCCCCGACGGAGCTCACCAGGGATGAGAAGAAGCCTGTCTTAGCGTTAAGAAACTGAACCCCGTAGCGAATCGCGCGACGAATAATGCGGCGTAGCACAAAACCTCGACCAACAGAGTCCGGCATCGCGCCATCCGCAATAGCTACGCTGATGCAGCGGATGTGGTCGGCTATGACGCGATATGCTACTTTAGCATCACTGGAAGGATCGTCACGAACTTCTTCGTAGGAATACGGATAACCTGTGATCTCTTGAGTTTTGTGGAATATGGGCAACCAAAGATCGGTGTCATAGTTTGATGTGCTACCTTGAAGGATAGAACTAAGCCGCTCCAAACCCATCCCAGTATCGACACTCTTTTTGAGCAGCGGCACCAGTTGTCCGTCCCCACGACGCTCCATCTGGATAAACACCAAGTTCCATATCTCCATGACCATGGGATCATCCTTGTTCACAAGCCCCGAGGCGTCGCGATTGCCAATGTAATCATAGTGGATTTCCGTGCATGGACCACATGGGCCTGTCTCACCCATTTCCCAAAAGTTGTCCTTCGCATTTCCGGGTAAAACACGTTCCTTTGGTAAAAGTTCTTCCCAAAGTAAACGCGCCTCCTCATCAGGCTCCAGGTTGTGCTCAGGATCGCCTTCGAAATAGGTCGCGTAGAGCCTATCCTTGGGGAGTTTATACACATCTGTCAGCAGCTCCCACGCCCAATAGATTGCGTCCCTCTTGAAATAATCTCCGAACGACCAGGAGCCGAGCATTTCAAAAAAAGTATGGTGATACGTGTCGTTGCCTACATCATCAAGATCATTATGCTTGCCACCGGCACGGATGCACATCTGAGAGTTGACAGCGCGGGTCAGACGACCGAAATCGGTGTTTGGATCAATGGTACCGAGAAAAATGGACTTGAACTGGTTCATACCAGCATTGATAAAAAGAAGAGTAGGATCATTCAAAGGGACAACGGAAGAGCCAGGTACGAATGTGTGTCCCCTTTCCGTGAAAAAATCGATGAATTGCTGCCTAATTCGAGCCGCTGACCACTCAAGATTTGGCTTCGACATTGTGAGCAGTACACGAGTTAATGAATTCTTCAGTTATTTTTCTTGAAAAAAAATTATTCCAGCAACTTTAAATAAAGATAAACAATACGTCACTAAGAAGCTTTTTTG